TTCAGTCGTAAGTCCTTTCCTACTGGAACTAATCATGCGAAACTTCTATATTTTGAGCGTGGGTGTATTGTGAATATTTACCACTATTAACTTGCAATCTGATCATGTTCCAAGTATTCCAGAGAGCATGAACATAAAATCGACTGAAAATACAGATGATGGCCCTTCTAGAATATCTTTCCTTTTTGTCATGTCTGAAGTGTACGGGCGGTAATGCCGAACACAATAGATGAGAAAAACGCACATAAGGTGCGAATAAGTGCAGACGTCAACAACTTTACTTCTAGCAAAATCTGCTACCACAACAAACACCTTGCTCTATCTGTGGATATTGCAGCTTTGCAGTCAAATAATGTTGGTTAGTGTGGAATATGTTCCAGTTGAACATATCCAAATTTTGCGCGATTTGGTCTACTAAGAAAAAAAGCTATGAACGAAAAAGCGTCAAAGCATTTCACCGAAGACTTTTGAGCGCTACTTTATATGGGTATACCAAGCAGTAACGGAGAGTAGCTGTATTTCTGTGCGGTGGCAATTAAGAGCTTCAAATCATAACTATTGCATGGTCAAGGTTCAGAACCTGAACCGATACACCTAGGGCAGCCAACTTTCCCTGCTTCCGTTTGGGATATACTTGTATCGAAGAATAGGAACCCGATTTCGAGATCACCAAACATATTTATTTGTATATTCAACTACTCAGTTGTTCCGTCCATCAGCACGCCGATCAACTTTGCCCGGATCTCAACTTCTTTTCCATTGGTCTCAATCGCCAGCCTCAGTAATCAGGTTCTCAGCCACCTCAAAAAGATATAATCATATCCGTTGTTACGAAAATCCCGTAAGTCCGTCCAACGTAAAGAAGGGCGACGAAGCGATCTTTTTTTTCTTGCTCCCTCACCATCATGTAATTCACCAATATCCGTCATTTCTGATCATCTGCTTTGTGCAAGCTCAATAAGCTTTCGAGAGCCACCAATCTTTCTCGATGAGTGTATGGTCATACTTGGCCTAGTGCATTCAAGAAACTGATTAAACCCAACTCATCTTATTTTACCGTCCTTTCAAATATCCATTTTATGATTGTTAGATTTTTGTATTGTCTTATGACTTTATTTCCGATTTCGGGTCTCCATTTCCCCCAAGCTCTGAGCTCCATGTCGTTTGTTGTCCGATTTTATCAAAGCAATTTGTGATTCTATATGTTTTTCTTACTTGTAGAGCACTGTTCCTGAGAAGTCGCCAAGAGAACAAGAATTCGAAAAGAGCTCAAATCAAATGGAAGCGTATACTTTGCCGAGGAATTTCGGTGCGTTCTTCTCTTGACAAATTTTCATTTTATCAGAGATGGATATAAAGCAGCTGTTTTCAATTTAGGTGGTTTATATTCTATATATCGATACAATCCCAACTTCCTCAGTCCCGACTTCTATGCAACTGTCGGGAAAGCACAATCAGCTTATCACCCCATATCTGCACATGATGATAGGTATCAGCTTGTGGTTTCTGTTTTCTTCAGTTTTATTGAAAGTTGTAAGCACTCATTTAAAGACACAGTCGGACCATTCGGAGACTTCCCATTGAGTTGAAAAATGGAGAGTTTGGTGGAGATAAGTGCACCGGTGACGAAGAGAGCGTGAAAAATAAGTCTGGCTATAATTGGTGAAAATAGAGGTTATGCGAGATTACCTTACCCTCAACGGCATTGATGGAATGTTCAGACGAGATTTCTGTTGTTGCAATTGCGTAAAAAACTGACTACATCAAGCCAAAAATGTCTATGGCTGCCCTTAACTCTCGCCGTATGTCACGAATAGTTGCTCGATTTTCCATCATGGAAGTCTCTTGTAAATTTGCTCCTACAACACCACTAAACCTCGTCCATCTTTTGGTGTGGCATACAACGGGTACAAGTCACCACATATGATACATATACGGTGTGAGGGGGCAAGACCCATCCTAGGAAAATATCTCAGGAACGAATTTTTTTCGTGAACTGTACCTTCGGAAGCAAGTTTCCTGCCTGCCTGAATTACTTGTAATAGCAAGAGAAATCTATTTTCGAATTCGACGGAAAGTCGCTGAGCATCATCTCGATAGCCATAAAAGATGTTTTTCTCTCAACCTGTCCATGCAGCACTGTCCTGAAGTAATTGTAACAACTATGCAGTCTGGTTCATGCTTTGTGGACACATTTCAGCACGTAGTGGCTTTGTACGAGACTGCTCGTTTTGCCCCTTGTGGTGGAGGTAGTATATGACGCGCTGTTACAGCCAAAAGCTCCCAGAAGCGCAACTCAAGCTGAAGCTCCGGTGTCTCGTCCTGAGTAGAAAAAACAGTATAATAATATTTCTGAGCAAGAGTCGGTGCCCTTTTAATTCACAGTTCAGGCAGGGCCACGGGAGCTGGGAAAGTCCCCCCTTTGTGTATATGCTACACACTATAACGAAAAAACCGTCGTTATGGTATCATTTTGTTGAGGTTACAAGCGATTTATTAGGTTGAGGAAAGTGTCTGTTAAAGAATTGTCATTGTACTGACTTTGCCTTTCCTTACCTTGGTCAAAGAGGCCAAAAATATCTGCCGAAAGTTTGGCGATAATTCAGATTTCCACTGGGATTTTCTACAAGCTTCTATAGGTGTTCCATGGAACTGCATGGACACTGCTCGCTCGTATACGCACAACATATGGCTACCTCTTCCTTGCTGATTCGAAGAATCAGTTTACGTAATTAGGGGGGGGGGGGGGGGGGGGGGGGGGNGGGGGGACATCTAGTTTTAAGCGAATACTGGGAGTGATAGTTCAGAATAGGTAAAAGTGGCGAAAAAAAGCGACAATCGATGAATTCGGAGAAATATGGGTCGAAAAAGTAGAAAATCGGGGGTCGGACGGGAATGAAACGTCGAAGTTGCATGGGAAAGGTATTTGAACGAGCTGCCCGAATGTATAAGCAATTGTGTACAGATGGTCACAGTAACCTGCAACGTGTGCGTCCTGGCGCAGTTGGTGCAACCTCTGCAGCCTATACAAAACCATGAAAACACGTCCGTTTGGGTGAGTACGTCTGCTAAGCTGGCTGTGGTGCTCTAATTGAGCCTTATCTAGGTGGGTTTTCCACTCGACATTGTCCCTTGTGTATTGGGGATCACAGGTTCATCCTAGGGAGAAAACTCAGAAAACTTTTCTATCGTGAACTGTGCATTCAACCCATAGTGACCAATTTGTCTGGCATCAGTGTTTCACCCCTAATTTTTTATAAGTTCGAATTCGGCCGCTTCGCCGCTGGAACCCTTTGAAACTTTGGCCAAATATTTGGCTTCGAACCCCGTTCTGTGCACGCTTCGTTTCAACGCATCACAGCTTGCCAGAAAATTGTCGAAGATGAAACTCGATCTGATCAATCAATTGTGATATCATGAAATCCCTAGATATGTTATGTGCGTACAAGTGAATAGTGTGCTTTCAGGCCATGGGTACATTCGTGCGTCCAGGGATGCGCGAATTCATGGCGATTCTGACGAGTCTGGCGTCTATCGTCTATCGTTGCGCCACAGTTTTGAAGTAAAGTAGATTAAGAGGGTCAGCTGATCCTACTGCCTACAATTTTGGGCTCCAATGATAAGCGAATCGTCACGACCGTAGGCGCGCTATTCCGGATACAAAAATGTTCCGTCCCCCATCCTTTTATTTTATTTCTGTCGGGCTTATTTTTCAAAATTTCCGCTAGATAATTTCTCCATACTCATTAGCTACTATTCAAGACACTGTTCTCAATCCAATATGAATTTCAAGTAAGCATGAGAGGATCGAATCAAAAGCAATTGTTCATTTATTCGTCAAATGTCATCTTTGACTGAGCCAATTAAATTTTCCTTGAATACGTAGTAAGAATGAAATCACGTTCCAAGGGAGGACATTTTCAAAAAGCACATTGGATGGTTGGGCTGTCTAATAAATCGCTCTCGTTTTTCGAAGTGGTCTATCTTCTTGGTGTGGTTTGTGTCTTGAACTCTCACGGGTTTGTTATCGAAACTTTATTAAATAGCTAACGTTTTGGCGGTATCGCCTTCTTCAGAGCTCGAAATGGACCAAAAACAATTTGGAGATATCTGATCAAACGTTTCCTAACCTGAACGAAGTTCGGGATTTCTAGGGCACGCACACAATCTGAAGAATGGCCACTCACCGTTGCTTCGTGTATCCTCGAGTTCACCCAGCAACCGGTGAAGGACCAGTGTCAGCCGTGCTTAGTTCTCATCGAAATCACTGTGGGAAGGCCAAATTTATATAAGGCCCAAATTCTTGCGTAATTGTTGGGTATACCGTCTGCTAGTTTTGATCTAGCATTCAGTAGCATAACACAGACTGAGGATCATTCATCAGCTCGACTCATACGGCAGTGTTTTCAGAATAGACTCATAGCACTTATGGAATGTTTCTTGGGTAGGGCTTTTCGGTTGTCCCATGGGCATTTTTTAGTGGATGTCAAGTGCAATTTCATATGAATGGAACCAGGAATTTCCACATTTCAAGTTTTCACGCAACATTTGGTCTAGTTAGTGCCCCTCCATTTTTTGAGTTTCTATACCCTCAGTGGGTGAAGTCTCTTGATTAGCACGAAATTTTTGAGGATGAAAAAATCAAATTCGTAGTTCTACCTTTGTCTGGGTTTTAGTCTCGAACATTAGTAAAGGAGAACATCATTGAACACTTTGGTGTCAACGATGCTGTTAAGCAGGAAATTCTTGTCATGAAAAAATTACAATGGTATGGTGGAGATGAATAAGGAGGACTATAAAATCCGAAAAAAGCGTATGATGCATATTGGAAATTGCGAGAAGAATGTGCTGAGTAAGACAGTTAGACTGCGATGGAATCGTGCTGACTTGATTCACAAGCGGTGACTAAGAGCCATGGAAATTCAGGGTTCCCGAGGCGATAGATTCGTGGCATTCATTTCGGACGCTTCATCAACATCAACGATTTTCCGTCGTTTCAGACGGTTTGCTACAATGGATTCAAGTCAAGCACGTCGTTTCTGTTCCACCATTTTCATCGACGACAACAATGGCTTCACCATGATCGACAGCAGCTCCCCAGCAGAGGTACGAGTTTATACTTAAAAGTGCGATGATTGAAAGTTGACGATGTGGACTTCTTCGTTACCTATAAACCTCATTCTCTCTTCGCTATCGTTTCTTTCATTACGTCGTTGCTTCCGATCGGTTTCTTTTGTCCGTCATCGCCGTCTAATTGGAATTCGTCGGAGGCGAGCGCGTGGTTTTGTCAACAGTGCGCGGTGTTTGCTTAGAATATGGAATTGAGCAATTGTATAGGCCCTTCAGTTCTCGTCCGTTCCTTGCACGTTTTGCCTGTGAACAACCCAAAAGCAGCATTTCTATTTGGATTTTTGATGCTCGTTCTTATCCTTTGCTGAAATTCCTCCTGAACCTTACTAATTGCCTGAAAACATAACTTAGCGCGAAGTGTAGCGAGCTCAGTAGAATCCGTGTTGAGGTATTCGATGTTGAACATATACAGTAGCGCTCAAAAGTCTTCGGTGAAATGGTTCTTCAGCCGTACTTTCAGTCGTAACTCCTTTCCTACTGGATCTAATCATGGGAAATTTCTATATTTTGAGCGTGGGTGTATTGTGAATATCTACCACTTCTAACTTGCAATCTGATCATGTCCCAGATATTCCAAAGAGCATGAACTCAAAATCGACTGAAAGTACGAATGATGGTTCTTCTGCAATCTCTTTCCTTTTTGTCATGTCTGAAGTGTTCGAGCGGTAACCTCGAACAGAATAGATGGGAAAACGCACACAAGGTGCGAACAGCTGCAGACGTCAACAACTTCAGTTTTAGCAGAACCTGCTACCACAACAAACACTTTGCTCTATCTGTGGATATTGCAGCTTCGCAGTCAACTTGGGTTTGGTAGGGTGGAATATGCTCTAGTTAAACATATCTAAATTTTGCACGATTTGGTCTACTAAGAAAAAAGTTATGAACGAAAATGCGTCGAAGCATTTCACCGAAGACTTTTGAGCGCTACTGTATATTAATATCTGATTAGAATCAGAAGTGGAAGTGAAGTATGGTCAAGCGGTGGCGCTACCACCCCACCGAAAGATTGAACTCTCCGACTTTGTTATTTTGCGCGAAGTTGTAGGCCCGTCAGGGAAGTGATCTAGAAAGTGACACTGCCTTTGGCCAATTTAGAACTGAAATTCGTCTCGGTACACTACGTCACCCAGTATGGTCTGTCAATTTCTCGGGTTGAACACAGCTAGGAATTCCGTGTTTTCACCTCACCATCACTAATAAATTGGATATTCCGCACACAACAGAGGATTTAGGATTGCTCAATTAGGCGGTTGGTCTCAATCTATTCAGAGATCTTGCGGAAATCGGCTTTTTTTTCCAAAAAAAGATGAACTCCTCAGTTGCTTTTGTCTTGGTGGTTGAATGAAGCTGAAAGGCATCGTACAAGGCTGGCTGACATCGTTCCCACATGTGCAAGTTTATCGAACATTCAAGCGCAATTTAGCGTACCACCTGTCTTTGAATTGATTCCTTTGAAATTTACTTTTACATGCGTCGTGGTTTTTCTCATCGACCGACTAGAAAAGAGAGTTTATTCCAGCAATGAACGGAATGTCCTTGTTGGCTTCGAAAAACAAGTGCGATGTATCTAAAGAACCTTCGGGAATATGTAGTTCTCATGGCGATAGGCGATAGAGGACTTAAGTGTCATCCGTTCTCGGTACTGGTTTTGAGTTCTTGTTTGAGACTCAGTTCTTCGAACGCAGCCTGTAATTCATGGGATGGGCTGCTAAACGCTATTCGAGACCTGCGTTACACTCGTAGACGTTCAGCATGCCTTCCACATGACTTGCATATTCATGATTTCCACGTAAACCGAATGGGCAGGTCACCGGCACTGGTTGACATTTTTCTAAGCCTACCTTCCAATAATTACGATTTCATAGGGGAAAACATTCGTTGACGTCGTATGCGAGGGTGAATTCCTCTGACAGGATTAATAAACGCCCAAAACCTTCATCCTTCCGTCCTCTAAAGTGCGGAATAGTGCAAATGTGGCGAAGAATGCGCGAAAATCAGCGGATTTCGAGAAAAAAAAAACGCTTTAAAAAAGCTGTGGGAAGGAGGGTGCGCGGATTATGATGACGGAAGTGACATGGAAGGATTAACGGTTGTGGCGTAAAGCTGCCACAGTGAGCCAAAGATTCCTAGAATTGCTTTTCACTGTCCTCTTGTTAGGGGCCTTGGCTAGCTATTTGAATTCTCAACATGTATGCACTAATAGGAACGGTACAGCCTTTTCAAGGTTTTGTCACACCGACCTATCTCTCGCTCATACAGTGGCTGCGATCTTTAAACCTTTATTACGCACTGTCTAGGCCGTTTTTCGATCTGTCAGCGCCTTTTATGACATACCTGTGAGCCACGGAATTCTCTCGGGTTAGGGGGAATGTCGGATTCCATTTTATCGTGAACTGTATTTAATGACCATTGTAGTGATTCGTATGAAGTAACTATAAGTACTTCTATCAAGATTCGGACTCAATCGTTATTTTCGTGGCGGATTTTTGTCGTCAATCTTTCGAAAAAGATTCATAGCAATCTGGTTTTTTGTTTACCAAAGTAATCACTACAAGTGATTGATGACTCCTTTGTCCATTCCATTGTTCTCCAAAACTTTTTTAATTCCAAAGAATATCGAAGTCGATGGTAGTACACCTCCATTTTTCGAGTTCTCTTTCATTTTCATCTTCTGCAGATTCCTCATGTATTTTTTTATTCCTCTTCAGACAAACGAGTCCACTTCAGACCTCTCTACCGACTGATTGCTTTTCCCAATCTCTCATCCGAGGAGGAAATGTGCTGAGGATGGAATCCGTTCATAGTGAACTATTCACTACGTGTTCCAGATTGTGGACAAGTAGTTTCTTCTTATGGCGCGTTTCTGCGTTCGACGTTCGAAGGCTGGAAGTAGGAAGAAAACGAAGACGTACGAAAGGAGATCTTTTTGTCCCGCTGAACATTTCCCCACTGCTATTGTTGGGCCATCTTTCAACTGAAGTTATGAGAAGCAAACTCATTATTTGAAATGTTTACCCATCCCTTTCCCCCTGGTCAACATGGATTAGGCGAAGGTAGTGTAGTGGCTCGTGTTATCATACCCGTATGGCCACGGGTTCGATCCCGGATTGATATCCACCCAGGCCAACCAAGCCTTCCATTCCTCTGGGGTAGGTCCATTGGTACCAGATTCGTGTAGAAGGGTAAAAACTTCTACTTGTATATTGGCTGACCACCACAATTCATCATATGGGGTACATATGCATTGAATAGGCCGTTACGATTCTGAACTGAAGCGGAATGCGGGGCGCATCCCACAGACGAGTCGACCCACGTCTAATTAAAGGCTTTTTCCTATTCCCTTTGGCATGTCTCATTCGATCATTTTCACGAGCTGTCCTTCAGCGTATCACGGGCCTTATTGGTTAGGCGAAAGTGCGAATGAGTGTGAAATTACACTACCGTATTACCGACTCTCCGTCAAAAAGCGTTTCGTAGCGAGACTTATCGGCACCCATTATTCATATTTTATGTCGGAGTATATGTCAGCATACGGTACGTAGTAATAACTGAGCAGGACTAGGCAAAACACTCACGATTGTTGTGGATTATGTTGTATGTAAAGTGAGGCGGACAGGAAGGAATGGGGTTCAGGGGCTGTCATAGAAAAACTGCGAACTTTGTTCACAAAACCTGCTTTTTGCAGAATTTATGGCACAGTGCAGTTTTTACCTTTATTTCGAGCCGTACATTGACATTCTAAAACCCGAACGCGAACCTTTTTTCAAGAATACTTACTTAAAGCAACGGGGTCTGATTCTGGTTGTTAGTTGCGCTATTTCCTGTTCCTATGATCGCAGGATCGTCACTTTACCGCAAAGAAGACACGTGTTTTGTTCCATGAAAGAAACCTGGACAAAAGCGCTGACCAGTCGCCTTCAGGATCATCCTACCTTCAGAATTCAGTTTCATTCAGATGAATAGAGGTTGTTTAATCTGCAGTATCCGAGGGGAAGGGGGTCATGAGATTGACTGTTTCTCTTCTCGGAACGTGGTTGCTACTTCTGAAATCCACTGCAAGCACATGGAAGGGGCTCGGCTGGCCTGGATCCGAAGTGATTCCACATCCATCCATAAGAGTCGTACGAATCGAAAAGGCGTCATTGAGAATGAGAACGCCTGTGAGTTGTCAATCGATGGACGAGTGGACGACATTCAGGGAATGCCCTTGATGTTCCGACAATAACGCGTGCAGCCTACGCCTTTTTCTTAGTTCTCCCTTCGAAGCTCTGTTAGTCAATGGCCTAATAAACTGCGGACTGTTCTTCCTAAAACATGCCCGATTGAAACGCAATGCGTTCAGCTTATAGTGGCAACTGGTCCATTTGTCTTCTTTGCTATATTTTTATAGTTACATGGGCAAACCTGATACCTTTTTATACTGGGGTTAAAAAGTGACCGCAATCTTCATTCAGCACTATTTCGGTTTTATAGTTTCGTCATGGAACGCACCGATTTCTTGAGTTCTCTTCAGCTCACTATCTCAACGGTAAGAAAGAAAAGTCCAGTAAACTCTGGGAATTATTTGTACTTCTGATCATTTTCAGCTCCACCTTGGACTCTACCATAGATGAGAACCCATGCCTATTTGAAAGTTGAAAACGACTCCCTGTATAATTTGCCAAAAGGATTTTTAAATTTGCTGATTTTCCGAGTGATTTTGGGCACTCTCCCATCTGAACTCCAAATCCTCCCATGTTTTTTTAGCTCATCCACTCTTGTCGTGTACAGGGATTCAAGGGAAGGGTGAGTGAGTTGGAAATCGTTCTTCCCCTTACCACCGTGACCGTGGAAGGGAATCGATGTGTTCGAGCTCCGTCGTAGTTGCTGACTCACATCACCTCGCGCATTCTTACTCATCACTGTACTATTGTGCAAACGTAGCATGGCAACGGGTGCTTTCATATGACACCTGCGATTACGAATTCCAAAAGAGGCCGCTCTTCTCTCTTCTTGTTTTACG